CTCGGCAGAGCACACACACGGTACATTATATGTGTAACAGATAAAAATACAATGTGACTGAGCAATGAGAACATCCAACTAATATTCCGGGCCATTGCTTGTGCAGTTTCACAAATGGTTCCCATTTTGCTCTGTTTTTGTGAGGAGGGAGAGTGAACGGAGAAATGTAATTTTTTTAACTCTTATTTTTATTTTTATTTTCTTTTGATTTTGCACTTGTTAATGTTTATTTCTATTCACTTTGGGCGTATGGTAGATCGTCGTCGGTTAACAATTGAATCACGGGCTCTGAATCAAGGATCCGGTTGATCAACCACGGGATCACACCCGCCGACGACCGGGGCGCTTTTTTATTTTACTTTTTCTTTTCTTTTTCTTTTCCAACTTCGATTCAATTTAATTTAATTATTTATTTAAATTTTTCTTTGGCGGGATCGATCCATGGGGATCACCATGCTTATTTCTTTAACCTCGTTAACTTTGAATTTCTTTGGCACGTCCGCTTTCTTGGAAGAAACGTAAACGTTATCCAACGGGGGACTCTTGGACTTATGGTCACAGGAGAGATTTGGTTCGTAGTGGGAGCGGCGCAAGAGTCCATCGCGGGTTCCCTTATCCACAATACCGCTGCGTAGTTAGCTGCCAAATAAATGGTCATTCCAAAGAGAGAAAGGCAAAAAATCAAAAGCCCAATCAATAGGCCCGGACGATGCTGATGCGGTGGGTTTTGATACTCGTGATCTGGCTGGCGGAAGTGGACCGTTGCTGGTTCCGGCGATGGACCAAGCTTGTCGCTGGGGATATGCGTCCGTCGAGTGGCAATTAGCCTCGTCGTCGAAGGAGTAATTCTGGGCTTTGGAGGAAAACTCCGTCGAATAATCAGCAAGTCTGATGCGGTCACGGTTCTTTGCTGTGCTTTCGCCCGAGGTTGGCCCCAGCCTCGTCCACGAGGGTAGTGCCGTGGGCATATGGCATAAATCGTGGTGCACGGAGAGCGCTGACGGTATCCAGGCTGTTCCCCGGGGCAGAAAACTGGCTGGCACGCCGCAGTGGCATGCAGCTACCGGCCCAGGCAGGCCGTGGCCCCAAGAGCAACAGCGCCGGCCTGGTGCGATTGGGGGCTGGGGTGCTGCCGCCACGGCCCAAGCTCAGGCGGACACTGCCCAACCAGCGGACCGGGCTAGCTCACCGCTGCTTTGGCTCCACACGCTCAACCACCTCAACCACCGGGGCAGGGAACAGCACAAGTTAAGCACACGGGCCCCAGGTCCTGCTGCACTGCACTGCTCAACGGACCACTCCCTTTCCTCTTCCTCGGCATCTCACCACTCATATCCTCTCCTCTTAGGAACTCCATCTACTCTTCATCTACTCTGGAACTTCTATCTCTA